GGAGCAGGTATGTCCCAGCCTCTGGCTCCTACCCGACATTAGCTAAGTCTTAGTCCATTTAGTTCCTTGTGTCTCCTCTCATGCGTGACTTAGTTCCTCTTTCATCAGTGGGTCAGCTCCTTGAGACTCTGCTTATGTTGCACAACTTAACCTTAAGTTAGTGTAGCTTATAGAGATGCCGTACAAATATCTGTAATAAGACAGGGCCTCTTTTTCCAGTATCCCTAATTTGAAGCTGGTAATTAATTACTAAGGTTTGCTAGGTCGACTAGGTAGCAAACTGAATAGGAGAGTAAAAGAAAAATCATTGTTAATGAAGAAGTTTTCACCTCTATCTAAATCAAGAACTTGAAATCAGGATACAAGCAGGATAAGCTGAGAATTAACATGTATGCCTATGATGGGGGCAGGAAATTAGCCCTCAACAGAATGTTTGATACACGGAGCAGGCCTTTTTTGGGGGGATTGGGGGAGAGATCTTCCATTGTTCTTGAAAAACACGATTCTGTCAGGTTAACTTTCATTTTCCCACGTTTGAGGAAACCATGGATACTGTGTAAGCATGATGGTACATGGCAGCTGACAGTCATTTTGCTGAAGCCCCAGTAGGGACTGTGGTAAATTGGAGAGCAAATGTTTTGTGTAAAGGGAGATACTGGAGCCATTATTAGGGTATAACCAACCAGGTGCCTTGTGGTAGAGGGGTCCCCATTTTCCAGTTATTTCACATTTTTCTAGGGAACACCTCTGTTTTATTTTTATTTCCTATAACATTTTTTAAACTGGACTAGCCACCTATCTGGTTTCTCAGCTCCTTTAATTTTTCTTTTTATCTCATCTTAGTTCTCAACCTTGTTTCTAGTGGGGCTAATCCTTTCCCTGAAACATTCTTGCCGCTGTTGATTCTGTGCTCCTCCAACTGGATTGATCTCCCCAATTTCACCATTCCCAGTCCTAGATCAGAATGTTTAAATATTTTTAGAAGTAGCTGAAGATAATTATGTTAAATCTGCAGGTATTAGAAACATGAATGAGAAAAAATATGCCGTAAGATTAAAATCTTCAATAATAGAGTATGTTTGCAGTGACATACTTACTGAGCACTACTTTGTAAGGCACAGTGTTAGTCTTCAAAAATAAATTCTGTCTAGAATGAATTGATTGATATAATTTATGTATTTATAAAGATAATTAGCCATATAATGGAGTAAAATGATAAGAGCCAAAATGAACAGTTTATATATATATGTATCTGTTAAGTCCCATAGGAGTTTAGAGAAAAAGGATTGTTTTAGAGGTTGGAATATAGCATGGTAGACTAAGATAATTTTCCCTTTTTGTATTCATAGGTAAGCAAGCAAATGTTGTAAACATTGTATTTTGGTTATATTATGGATAATTTTTGCTATTTTGTTAGCACCTTGCCGGAAATTCGACTGCTTGTATGTGAATGCTGCATAAAATAGGTCTTGTGAATTCTAATTTAGCAAAATTCCAACTCCTAACCTTGTAAAGAAGTTTCCACTCTGAAAATATTTTTTATTGGTATGTCTTTCTCTTTCTTCTCTTTCTTGAGTGAAACTGACTATAAAAGTAAAGTAAGCTTTAAAAAAATTATCTGTCTTGAGTTGCTATAGTTAACTGGTTATTTGCAAAATGCATTTGTTTCACCATAGCAGCTTGAAACCAGTTACTTTGGGCAGATTTAAATTTATAACCAGCCAAAAACTATGTTGGTATATTTTGGGTTTTTGGTTCCCATCTTATTCTCACCAGACTGAGAGATGGGTATTGAAAGCATTTACTAGAGTTTTCCTAATTTGTTTTTTAAATAATATTTTTGCATATGAAAGTACTTTTGCCCATTGTAGAAAAATCAAAATACAGGGCATTATAAAGAAAACCAGCCACCCAGAGATAGCCACTTAGCATTTTGCTGTTTTTACTTCTACCTGTTTTAAAGAATCTATGTTATAAACATAGTTGGGTTCATAATTCACATAGTTTTGTATTCTGCCTCATTTTTTTAACTTAACATTACACATAGATCTTCCTGTGCCATTCCAATTTATTTGAAAAGAATGGCTGTAGAACATTTTCTCGTGTGTATAATTTATTTAAACATTTTTCTTTTTCTTTTTCTTTTCTTTCTTTCTTTCTTTTTTTTTTCTTTTTTTTTTTTTTTTTTTTTGAGATGGACTTTCACTCTTTTTGCCCAGGCTGGAGTGCAGTGGTGCAATCTCGGCTCACCGCAACCTTCGCCTTCTGGGTTCAACCGATTCTCCTGCCTCAGCCTCCCGAGTAGCTGGGATTACAGGCATACACCACCACACCCGGCTAATTTTGTATTTTTAGTTGAGACGGGGTTTCTCCGTGTTGGTCAGGCTGGTCTCGAACTCCCAACTTCAGGTGATGTGCCTGCCTCAGCCTCCCAAAGTGCTGGGATTATAGGCATGAGCCACTGCGCCTGACCCTAAACGTTTTTCAGTTGTTGATAGGTGGTTTTACATTTTAGACTGTTCTAAATAATTCTACAATGAATGTGCTTGTGCATTAATTGCTTGAGTCTGATTATTTTTTAGACTAGATTTATAGAGTAAAATTACTGGCTTAGAGAATACAAATTTTTAAAAAAAACCTTGTTAAATCAGGCAAATTGCATTCTAGAGAGTATGTACCAATTTCCACCTGCATACAAGAGTGCCCATCTTAACTGTATCTTGTCAATGTTGAGCTCAATATAGTATTTTAAATGGCACCTCTCTTTTCAGTTTTGCTTGCTAATTGAATTTAATAATTTTTTTTCAAAATGTACCCATCTAAACCTGTTTTAGATGTAAGTTTCAAGATAAACTACTTTCCCTAAAGTTCTTAGTGAAGTGGGATAGTGTTTGATGCTTTAAAAAAATAGATTGCAAAATAGCATGTGTAGAATTACATTTCAGGTAAGCATTGTAATACTGTGCGGCATCTCTGCTTGGTGAGTATGAGTGATTTAAAAATTTTCTTTGTGCTCTTTTGTGTTTTCTAAAATTTGTTTAATATAATAGAACTTTGTAATTAAGCAACAGTTCAAATGCTCTACCTCCTTAAGAATTTGTAAGCCATGCAGAAGCTTTGCCTTCTTGATAATTTGGTGTAGTATTTCTTTTTACAGTAATACTTTGAAGTTTCTATATTTATTTAAGGAAGAAAGGGGTATTTCTTGTATCAATAGTGGGCACTGACCCTCATGTTTTCTGGGAAACAGCTGTAGCAAGACTGTTTCTGTTTCTGACTTATATATGAATATTTTTAAAATGATAGCTTGAATGAGAGTGTGAGTGTTTGACTTGCTTAGAGAAATGTAAGAAATTTTATTGGAATTTATATTAGCCTCTTGATACACCAATATTGCTTAGAGGCCGAGTAATCCAAAAGTTAGGAATGCTAAGTGTTCTTCATGTTCAAATTAATAAAAAGAGGGATGAGAACACTTTAGAACAAGATGTCCAGCAACCAAGTAACAAATGAACAGTTTTTTAGATTTAGCTTGTTGTGAATCTATTTGGGCATTTCATATACAGTTAAATGACCTCATTATAAATGTTCACTTGGTACAGTACATTATGATATGTTAATCAAAACCACTGAAAGTCATTGTTACATAACTTTTTAAAGATAACTTTTTTTCCTAAATGTAGAGTATGAGCTAATCAGTATGAATTATCCATTAAATTCAAAAGGTAAGGTATTAAAAAATACATTGAAAGCATCTGTTATATGTTTACCTGAATTCGTAATGCAAGAGGTAAGTGACATAGATTAAACTGAAGTACCGTGCATATTTTCACAATATAATCAACTTGACATCATAAAATAGTCTCAGAGCTCAAGGTATTAAAAACACTACCTAATTCTTTTATCCTCTCTCCTTCCCTCACTTTAAATGGATTTTACCAGGTTTTCTTTTTTTTTCTTTTTTTCTTTTTTTTTTGAGACGGAGTCTGGCTCTGTCGCCCAGGCTGGAGTGCAGTGGCCGGATCTCAGCTCACTGCAAGCTCCGCCCCCCGGGTTCACGCCATTCTCCTGCCTCAGCCTCCCGAGTAGCTGGGACCACAGGCGCCGCCACCACGCCCAGCTAATTTTTTGTATTTTTAGTAGAGACGAGGTTTCACTGTGTTAGCCAGGATGGTCTCGATCTCCTGACCTCGTGATCCACCCGTCTCGGCCTCCCAAAGTGCTGGGATTACAGGCTTGAGCCACCGCGCCAGCAGGTTTTCAAATAGTAAGTTATGTGAGATTTTTTTCCCACAGAGTCTCATTAATTAAGTGGAATTTCTTTTTTTTTTTTTTAAGACGGAGTCTCGCTCTGTTGCCCAGGCTGGAGTATAGTGGCGCGATCTTGGCTCACTGCAACCTCCACCTCCTGGGTTCAAGCAGTTCTGCTTCAGCCTCCCAAGTAGCTGGGGTTACAGATGTGCGCTACCACGCCCAGCTAATTTTTTTGTATTTTTAGTAGAGTTGGGGTTTCACCATATTGGCCAGGCTGGTCTTGAACTCCTGACCTTGTGATCCGCCCGCCTCTGCCTCCTAAAGTGCTGGGATTACAGGCATGAGCCACCATGCCTAGCAATTAAGTGGAAATTTTAAGGGAAACATTTTCTGGTATGAGACATTTCTCCCAGGAAGATCTGGATTGCATAAAAAGTTCTCTTTTATAATGTTACATACAGCTCACATTCCTGAATTACAGTATTTCAGATTTTCTCTTGACCATAATGAAATAATAGACATTAATAATATTCTGTTAATTTTGTCAGTGTTTAACGTGGGAACAAAATACCCCAGAAGAATTTTATTCCGGTTATTCTAAGGAGAGAAAACAAGAAAAATAGCATTAATTACAAAAGTTTTCAATAACCAATTTGTTTCCTTGACAGAAATTGATATGCCTCTAATCTGATATACAGCTTTAGAAAGTCACATACTAATAATAATATTTTGTCGTTTTGCCTTAGATGTGTTCTTTGTGCCATTGTCCTGGAGCAACAATTGGTTGTGATGTGAAAACATGTCACAGGACATACCACTACCACTGTGCATTGCATGATAAAGCTCAAATACGAGAGAAACCTTCACAAGGAATTTACATGTAATTATTTAACTTCTCTTTAAGTTTTTTTTTTTTTTTTAAACAATTATACTTTCTTTGGGCTTTTGTAAAAATTTTTCCCATTTCAAAGCATTTCATCGTCATCAAAAAGGGTGTTTTTGATAAGAAATTTAATACTTAGAGAAATAGTACAGAAAGTTTAATAATATTTTTTGAATCCAGCTAGTGAATGGGGGTGAAGTGTACTGCTCATTTTCTTAACTTGAAAAGTGTGTTTAGTTTGCTTACTAATTTTTGATTTCTTCATTTTTTATAGGGTCTATTGCCGAAAACACAAGAAAACTGCACATAACTCCGAAGGTACATCATTTAGCCACGTTTCAGCCACTTTTCAGTTTCAAGAAGAAATTTGAGTACAAATTAGTGAATTGTACTATATCAATTTTAACCATAAGATATATCTCAACATTCAGTACATTTAAAAGAATTAAGTGTTAGGATAAACTAATGTGCATAGTAAAAAGATCTGAACTTTTTTTTTTTTTCTGAAACGAAGTCTTGCTCTGTCACCCAGGCTGGAGTGCAGTGGCGTGATCTCAGTTTACTGCAACCTCAGCCTTCCAGTTTTGAGCAATTCTCCTGCCTCAGCCTCCTGAGTAGCTGGGATTACAGACGCGCGCCATCATGCCAGCTTATTTTTGTATATTTAGTAGAGACAGGGTTTCACCATGTTGGCCAGGCTGCTCTTGAACTCCTGACCTCGTGATCCACCTGCCTCAGCCTCCCAAAGTGTTGGGATTACAGGCATGAGCCATCGCGTCCAGCCAAGATCTGAACTTGTAAGAAAACTTTTACCCCAAAGTCCTTGTAAAGCATATGTTGAAAATCTATCTTTAGTAAGAAATTACGCTGGTGGCTGCATGTTTCGTTTCTTTTTTTTTTGAGACGGAGTCTCACTCTGTTGCCCAGGCTGGAGTGCAGTGGTGCAATCTCGGCTCACTGCAAGCTCCGCCTCCCAGGTTCACACCATTCTCCTGCCTCAGCCTCCCGAGTAGCTGGGACAACAGGCACCTGCCACCACGCCTGGCTAATTTTTTGTATTTTTAGTGGAGACGGGGTTTCACCGTGTTAGCCAGAATGGTCTTGATCTCCTGACCTCTTGATCCGCCCACCTCGGCCTCCTAAAGTGCTGGGATTACAGGCGTGAGCCACTGCGCCTGGCCTCGTTTCTTTTCTGTTTTCTTTCTTTTTTTGAGACGGAATCTTGCTGTGTTGCCCAGAGTGCAGTGGTGCAATCTCGGATCACTGCAGCCTCTGCCTCCTGGGTTCAGGCGATTCTCCCGCCTCGGCCTCCTGAGTAGCTGGGATTACAGGCACCTACCACTACACTCTGCTAATTTTTGTATTTTTAGAAGAGACGGAATTTCGCCATGTTGGCCAGGCTGGTCTTGAACTCCTGACCTCAGGTGATCCACTCTCCTCGGCCTCCCAAAGTGCTGGAATTACAGGCGTGAGCCACTGTGCCTGGTCAGCTGTGTGTTTCTTTAAGGATGCTAATTGGGATCCTTGCTACTGTCATAAATGATGTGAACTTGGTAATAGTAGTACATTTTGTGATCACCAGGCTTTCTGTTAAATTTTTATTCACATTTGTAGTACTTAAAAAAATGCGAATGTGTTAATAAGTAACCAAATTTAAAATACAAACTTTAAACATTATTTTATAGTTTGTTTCTACTTAAATTTATATAAAACCAGGTTAGTCATGTTTATATGTAGTTAGCCAAGTTGTACTTGGTCTGTAAAAAGTATGGGAAAACTCTGATACTGAGTTCTGACTTGTTTCAAACATTTTCAAACAGATGGTTTTGATACTTTTACTAGCAATATAAAATGGCTTAGATGTAATCTGCAATTGTTCTATTCCTTCATTTAGATTAGAAATCTTTAAAATTTTTGTTTGCTTTTGAGAATATGTTGCTTAGAATTATAATGGTTTGAGCACTGTTGTTTTAGGAAGTTGTTTCTTTTATAAAGATTTACCTAATTATTGGTATTCGCATGTTAAAATTGGTGGCCCTTTTTGATCTCTAGATCTTGGCTTTTGTAATACAAAACAATATTGTTTCCACTTCTGGACTTGAGATTAGTCCAAATACTTTAAAGTGTTGGTTAAAAACACAGTCATTAGCAAAATCTAGTCTTTAAGGTAAACAAACTGGTTAAATAATAACAATGTTTTTTGAGGTGATAAAATATGACGCAAAAAACCTTAATAATGCTTTTCTTCTGTTTTCTCCTCACTGAATTCTAGAATTGAATTGGAAAATCCTTTGTGAAAGATTGAGTATGCTTTTCCACCTTTAATTATTTCAGATTTTAACAGTACATTTATTTCATACTCTTTAAGATTGTAGTGGCCCTATATGGTTTTTTCTTAATCAATTTTTAATTTTTGTGAGTACAGAGTAGGTGTATATATTTGTGGGGTACATGAGATATTTTGATACAGGCATGCAATGTTAAATAAGCACATCATGGAGAATGGGGTATCCATCCCCATTTCAAACAATCCAAGTTAAGCTGAGGATTGAGACGATGTTATGCTGTATGTTAAGCTGAGGATTGAGACTCATGATCTGATGAATACAAGTATGAGCACACTGAGACAGGATATTTGAGATAATTAAGGATGATTAATATATACTGATTAATATAAACAGCTCCCATTTTATTTCCTGAATTTCTGAAGCTGATAGTACCATCTAGTGGTAGGGAGAAGTCACTGCAAACTATATAAAGGAGAATAATTTTGGCCGTGTTTTAGCACTGTGAAACTTAATAGTGAGAGATCTAAATTCATACTTTTCAAGACAACTTTTCTTTTAATGTAACTGGCAGCATTATTATAACTTCAGATTTGTGATACAATTAATTTGAATTTGGGATTCGATGTGTACGTCTGTAGAACAGTGGACGGGGGTTTGTATCATTTTTATATATAGTGTGTTTATATTCACATTGTGGACCTTGAAAGAATAATTCTATAAAGTATTAAAGCTTTATGTTTATTGATTTCTGGCTTTTATCACATTGATCTATCTCAAATTTAGTTGATTTTGAGTGCTTTGTCAGAAACAGAACTTCCAATTATTCCATTGTTCTAATGGGAAACATATGTTCTCCTTTATGATCGTGATTTATGATGGGAGGTTATAGGATTGTATTTCAGGGACTGTCTTTTAAGAATTGTGCTGCACTAGTCTCCAGAGCAAAGAGGAATTAATATCTATGGTAATGTCTTGGTCATTTGCCATCTGTGGCTCAATACTTACTTTGCTAATACTTGATATGATAAATGCTATTAATATATCATTCAGTCTGCCATGTTAGCTTTATATAAAATGAGCTGTTTTGAAATACTAAATTTGAGAATAATTGCATAATATAGCAATTCAATTTTCCCATCACAAATAAAATATTATTGAATATTAAATACCTAAAACCTATGTCATCCGTTTTGCTTCAGAAAAAGTGGACTGTGAATTTGAAAAGCAATTTAAATTCCATATGGAGTTTTTAACTATCATTATGTCACTAGGTTATTAGAATGCCCATCCCAGGAACTATATGTATTTACCTGTTAGTGGTGATGGGCTTAGATAAGCTGCCTATAAAATCATTCCAAACATACAAGAAAGCATTTCTGGGCTGGCGCAGTGGCTCACTCCTGTAATCCCAGCACTTTGGGAGGACAAGGCTAGTGGATCACCTGAGGTCAGGAGTTCGAGACCAGCCTGGCCAACATGGTGAAACCCCGTCTCTACTAAAAATACAAAAATTAGCCGGGTGTGGTGGCGCACATCTGTAATCCCAGCAACTCAGGAGGCTGAAGTGGGAGAATTGCTTGAACCCAGGAGGTGGAGGTTACAGTGAGCCGAGATTACGCCATTTGCACTCCAGCCTGGGTGACAGAACAAGACTCAGTCTCCAAAATAAAAGGAAAGCATTTCTGATGCAAAATATCTCCCCTATCAATGGTGACAGTTAACTGAGGACAGAGTCCCTCTGGAATTATATACAAGCTGGTAAATATATTTCAGCTACTATTTGCCAGGCCTGTTAGGTAATTGGGGAGATAGGGATAAATTAGATGGGTCTCTGCCCCAAAGGGCTTGAAGTCTAATGTGAGAGATGTACACTAAATAAATAGTTGCACAAGTAATAGGTTACAATTGTAATAAATCATATGAATGAGAAATTAGAGTGCCATGAGCAAATGTTTGGGGGGACCTGTGAGAAAATTTCTTTTAAATTAAGTCTTAAAAGACTAAAGAGGATTGGAGGCACATTCTATGCAGAAGGAACAGGATCTTTGAAAACTTAGACAGGAAGGAACTTGATACTTCCAAGGAATTGATAGAAAGCTATGTAAGTAAAAGATAGATCGGGGCAGGCATGGTGGTTCATGCCTGTAATCCCAGCATTTTGGGAGGCTCCAGTGAGGAGATGGCTTACGGCCAGGAGTTTAAGACCAGCCTGGACAACATAGCAAGACCCTCTCTCTACAAAAATTTTAAAAATTAGCTGAACATGGTTCTGTGCACCTATAGTCCCAGCTACTCGGGAGGCTGAGGCAGGAGGATTACTTGAGCCCAGAATTTCAAGGCTGCAGTGAGCTACGATCACGCCACTGCACTCCAGCCTAGGCAACAGAGTGAGACTCTGTCTCTTACTCAAACAAAGAAAAATGATAGGTAGAGTGGCACATGAGGTTGGGAGGAGAATACATGGGCTAGATTGGTAGGGATTTTGAATATCATCGTAAGAACAGCAAGAGGTAATTGAGGGTTTTAAGCAAACAGAATGGCTTGTTGTAGGAATCCTGTTTAGTAATGATAGCAGGCTTGGACTAGAGTTGTAATTACGGGGTTGAGCAGAAGTAGACAAATTTAGGAAGAGTGTTTGAAGATAGAATTGATAGCACTTAGCAGGTGCATCCAGTATAGAGATGAGGGAAAAGAGATATTAGAGATGACTCCAAGGTTTCTGGCATATGCAAATGGGTGACTGATGTTGCCATTTGCTTAGATAACAGGAGAGGTGAAATAAGCTTTTGGGGAAAGTTGATGACTTAAGTTTGAAAGATCAAGTTTAAGATACCTATTGGCCGGGCGTGGTGGCTCAAGCCTGTAATCCCAGCACTTTGGGAGGCCGAGACGGGTGGATCACGAGGTCAGGAGATCGAGACCATCCTGGCTAACACGGTGAAACCCCGTCTCTACTAAAAAATACAAAAAACTAGCCGGGCGAGGTGGTGGGTGCCTGTAGTCCCAGCTACTCGGGAGGCTGAGGCCGGA